TTCTAGATGCATGTTTTTTTTTAATTTGTAACCTTATATTCAAAATACATATATTGATTCAACTGCAGTGATCTTTATCTGATCGGAGCAAAAGCAGTGATTTTATATAATAGTTTTATCAAAGTTTTTAAGTGAATTTGCACAAGGTATGGAACAACAGTTGGTTTTTAGCAATTTTTAGCAAATTTAAGGAGCATTATATAAAACATTCAACAAAAATTATAAATAAATTATAAGCTTATTTTTTAAGCAATTTTTTTTTAAATAAATAAAATTAATTTTTGATCTCCATCAGCTTTCCTCTGAAAGCTCCTCAGCTTTTAACTGGTGCTATTTCATTTTCATAATATTAATGTTTATATTAATTTAAGTACAAGTATAATTTTTTTAATAGTGTAGTTTTGCAAATTTAACATGAATTTTCAAATTCAAAAAATAGAACTTTTTTCCAAATTTTTTTTTTTAAATTGTTGCCAGCCCCAAGCTTCGCACAATTCATCAATATATTTGCCTTCACAAGGTGACTTATTATCTCGTCCCAGGTCAATAAAACTAGTCAAGTCCCCTGCCAAAATTCGACAATATCTCCAAAAAAGCATCGTCGTAAATATTCGCTTATCTTTTTCAACGGTGCATGAAAACATTAGCATGTTTCTGAGTCAATTTGCTCTTAATTATACGAGCAAACGTATCTCCGGCTTGTGCAAATCTTTGAAAAATTTCCAATATTTTTTAAAACTTGGAAAATGTCGGTAGTGAACGGAACTAATCATGAAAAATCTAATTTTCATACAGATTTACAAAACGGAGACCGGAAAATGGCACGTGGACAGATTTTGTCGGGAACGGAGGTTGCCAGGTAATAATAATAATAAAAAGTTGATATATTAAGGGGCACAACTAGTGTAACCGCCTAAAAAAAGGTGATTTTTGGGAATTTATATTGAAAAAACTACTCTATCAATCATTTCAAAATTTTAGGAGTATATTTATACATGTTTTAAGAATACAAAGTAAAATTTTTGAAGAAAAAAATTAAATATTTTTTAAGTTATCGTCAATCTCCAACGGCGCGATAAAAAAGGCCCTTCACTGCTGCAGTGATTCCGGCATTCTACGTGGATGAAATTTAAAAAAAACAATTCTCGTTAAACTAGATAATATTGTCTGTAAAATGAACTACGATAAAGAAAAAAAATCAAAAATTGACAAAATGACAGCGTTTTTTTTAAAAAAAGTCGAATTTATCCAAAATTTTGGTCGTTTTTGGACTGCCAAAATTCGTTTTTTGATCCGATCAAAAAATCGATAGTTTATTTTACGGAGAACTATATATAGAACATGTAAAAAAAATTTGATAGTGATCGGATCATTTGTTTTTGAGTAATCGCTGCAGCAAATTCGAAAAATGCTGTTTCGAGAAAAACGCGTTTAAAGTTTAAATCATCGTTATACTATATACTATATATATACTCTTTAAATGGCTGTAACTCAAAAACTATTTAAGATATCGATTTGAAATTTTGGTATGTTATTTTTAAAGGTATAACCTATCGCAATATGGAAAATCGAATTTTCAATTTTTTGAAAATTTCACACTAGTTGTGCCCTTTAATAATAAAATAAGGAAATATTTAAATCAAAACGTTTTCTATTTTTAGAGAAATTCGGGAATCATTACGAGAACAGGTGTCTCGTATGAAGGAACAAGTACCAGGATTTTGTCCAGGATTGGCTATTGTTCAAGTCGGTGGAAGGGAAGATTCCAATGTTTATATTCGGATGAAAATTAAGGTAAGTGCATTATAGTTTCGAGTTTAGAAAAAAATGCGGTGTGTCTTTCATTATTATTACTAGGCTGCAACAGAAATTGGTATGAAAGCAGAGCATGTCCAGTTACCAAGAAGTACCACTCAATATGCACTTTTGGCCAAATTGGCTCGTCTAAATGCAGATCCAAATGTACATGGTATTATTGTTCAGATGCCTTTGGATTCAGAAAATCCTATCGACTCTCATCTTGTTACTGACGCTGTCTCTCCTAGCAAAGATGTAGATGGGTGAATATAAAAAATATACAATTTTTTTTAAGTCTGAATTTTATATCAAACCAGACCCAAAGAAATAGTTCCAAACCAGATCCAATGATTAAATATTAAGTTAAAATTATTTATCATTTTCAGATTGAACACAGTCAACGAAGGACGTGTCGCAGTGGGCGACATGGGTGGTTTTCTACCCTGTACCCCCAACGGTTGTATGGAGTTGATTAGACGCAGTGGCGTCCAAATCAAAGGTGCCAATGCCGTTGTCTTAGGTCGTAGTAAAATTGTCGGTACCCCCGTCAGCGAGCTTTTAAAATGGGCTGACGCCACTGTCACCGTCTGCCATTCGAAAACTGCAAATTTACCTGAACAGGTAGGAGAAATTTTAATAAATTTCTGTACTCGCACTCTTTTATATATTTAACAGAAATATTTTATTTATACTGTAAGCTTTATAGCATTGTATGTTTATCTTGCTCCTTTACCTAATATTTTTCCCGCTTTAAAAATAGGAATCAAGATACATTGAATTTCTTTATTCATTGTTTCATATGAAACATTTTTTTATTAATCTTGGCAACACTAAAAGTATCTGCAACGAGTGAAGTTTCATTCATTGTTTCTTATATTCTACCTTTTATCCACTCTTTTCATATAACAATAGCGTATACGATTGATTAAATCATATATTAAACTTAAGTTTATAACATTTATACCTCGTTATAACGATCTCTGTACATAATTAAGAAAATAGATTTTTATGCAATTCTAAAGAAATTAATTAAAATAACAAAACACATATTCAAATAGGTTTTTCAATAAAATTATTCTCACATAGACTATATATTTCAACGCATAATTAATTAATTTAAGAAAAAATATCGTGCTACTAATTGGTGACTTTATGATTAATTGAATAATTATGGATATGTTGTTCTGCAAAATTTGTAACCAAGATTATTATGTTTGAGAACCTCTATCCTTTCTGATAAAATCAAAATATATTACTCATTGTCTTGGCAATTTTATAGCTCTTTAAATAAGCATATCTCCAAATCTCTAATACATGCTCTTAGTAAATAAGTAAGAGCCTCTTACTAAAGTCCCTACTTTGAATATGAAATTTGAGACTGTAGGCAGTAACCGGAGTATTCAGTTGATATTTTTTAATTACTTAATAGCGATGATCATTATTATCTGTATCTTATAAATATGTTTTTTTAATTTTTGTGATGACGATAGACTAAAAAAGCAGATATTTTAGTCGTCGGTATTGGACGTCCTGAAATGGTCAAAGGAAGTTGGATCAAAGAAGGAGCAGTTGTTATTGATTGTGGAATTAACGCAATACCAGGTAAATTATATATATATATATATATATATATATATATATATATATACGAGTATATATATATATATATATATATATATATATATATGATTAATATTACATTTTAAACTTGATCTATATTTTGCTCTAAATTCAAGACCTTACTTTTATGTTATTGTTGATATAAGTTTCATTCGTCACAATATTTATCACATATTTATATACAAGTTCAAAGTTTATCAAAACTCATGAAACTCTTTAAACATAATAGTACGTATATGAATAGAAAAAGATGACAAGGGCATTTTTATAATTTGTAAAAATTGTAAATTATTTTTTAATTAAACACTGCTAAGAAATTTTGATTAACAATTTTTCAGTTACAAAGGTAAAGAGTGAGCTTTTTCGACTTTCAAATAAGTGAATATTTCAAATAATTCAAGTGATGTATGCATTTTTTGAATAGATTTTTTTTCTCTTCTATAAAAATAAGAACGGCATTTTTATAATTTGTAAAAATAATGAACTATTTTTTAATTAAACACTCCCATGAGCTTTTGATTAAAAATGTTTTAGTTATAAAGGTAAAAAGTGAGCTCTTTCGGCTTTCAAACAATAGAAAAGTGAAGTATGCATTTTTTGAATAGAAAAAGATGAAAACGGCATTTACATAATTTATAAAAATTATGAACTATTTTTTAATTAAACACTCCCAAAAGCTTTTGGTTAACAATTTATAGTTACAAAAGTAAAAAGTGAGCTTTTCGACTTTCAAATAATTGGAAAAGTGAAGAATAGAAAAAGATGAAAACTACATTTATATAACTTATAAAAATAATGAAGTAGTTTTTAATCAAACACTTCCATGAGCTTATAATTAAAATTTAGTTATAAAGATAAAAAGTGAGCTTTTTTGATTTTCAAATAATTAGAAAAGTAAATATGCTTTTTAATGGAAAATTAAAGAAATTGTAAGTAGCATTTTGTCTTGAGGCAAGTTGCATAAGCTTCAAGACATTTGGAAAAATAATCGTCTTAATCTATGAGAAATAGATATATTAATAAATAAATATACCGAGTTGCTGTAAAATAATGAGAAAAACTATTGCAGATTATTCAATTTTGTAAAAAAAAATTTATTACACTTTATTGAAAATCGAATACGTGGCTGATACATTTAGTCAATTAATCTAAATTTCAATTAATTTTTATAATTAACTATACCACATTTTGTATGACTATAATATTTTACTACGTTTATTAAGACCATGTACTCTATCGCCATGCAAAAAGTTTCATTAAAAACGTCGTTTTTTACGAAGAAACATTGTTAAAAACTAATCAACACGATTTCCAAATAATATTATTCAAATGGATTTTGAATTTCAAAAATCGATTCAGGATTTTGGGATAAAACGCGGATGAAAAATTTTGCACTTTTCTGCTAATTCTAAAGAAACGTCTCAGCCGATGGTCGCTCAATACTAATAAAACAAGTCCTCATCGAGTTTAATCGAATTGCTTTTAAAATTTTGAAATCCGTTTAGCCGTTTCTGAGAAACCATGAGAAAACGTGGATAAAAGGTCGAATTTCAACAGACACAAAAAAACGCTGTTTGAATATTTGAAATTAAACAATAAGTTGTCGTAGGGCCGTAATATTTTAGTATGTTTTAGAGTTTTAGACTGTAGGACCATGATATCTGTCGTGATTCAAAAAAAAAATTGTAGGAAAAAAATGAGTAGTTAATTACAAGAAAACGGCCCGTCCGATCTTTACCAAAAACTAATTAGCTCAATTTCCAATCGATATCTTTCGAACGGGTTTTGAATTTTCAAAATCGATTCAGGATTTTTGGCTAAAACGATGACAAAAAATACTGCACTTTTCAGCTAATTCTTAATAAACAGCTTAACTGATGGTCGCTCAAAATCGAATACCTTTTGAATGTTTGAAAAATCGGTTCAGCCATTTTTGAGAAAAAGTCGATGAAAGGTCAAAAATCGGCTTACATACAAACACACATACTTTTTCCAACTTTGGTCTCATTCGATTGAGAATGACTTGAAATGTCGAGAAAAAATAAAATTAGCGATTCGAATTTTTTGATAAAAACATAAGCTTCTCCTTCGGAAAGTTAATAATGAAAACGTTTTTTCCAAAAATGTCAATTTTTTTCAAAAATTTAAAATTCCTTAAAAGTCAAATTTTTTCGAAGATTAAAAATAAATTGTATCTTTTTAAACAAAATAATTTTTGGTACGGAAAGTTCCA